TTACATTCTGACTGCATTGTGGAAAGACAGTTTTCCCATCATTTACCCAGGAAACTGAATGACTTGTTGGCCTTCTCATAAATATAAATATTCCAAGATTTAGAACTTAGCAGACAGACTTTCTCTTGATAAACAATCATAGTTTTAGGGAATTGCACAGTTAACTCATCAGATGCTTCATTAAAGTCCGTTATCTTTTGTGACACTTAACCTCGGTGTGCTTTTACAGCTCAGAAGGATGGAAATTAAATAAGGGGAAGCTTGTTGTTGCTGTTTCAGTGGAAATTGCTTTTTTTTAAAAACCTTTTAACCTATAAATAAACCTTCTTAATACTTACTAACTCTTAACTATTTATACACAGCAAACCATGACCCGAATAAAGAGTTCTTTAAACATTACAACATTTATTTACTTGACCTGATTATCCACATTTAATAACAACTGTGCAGCCAGCACCAAGGACATTTTTGTGGAGAAACAGTAAACAAAGAATAAGAAACATCTGCAAGTGTTTAACTTCCAGAGGAGGATGAAACGAACACTACCGCAAATAACCCCCACACGGTCCCCTGAAGTTTCTGCAGCAACATTCTAAGCTGTGTCTGCAGAATCGCAGGGGTATAAAACTGAACTGTAATGACTGCATGAGAACCATGGGGTTGGGTGTAGTCAACAGTTGTAAATAATTAGCATAAACCTTAGTTATAGTCGAGTTAAAGTATTACAGAATTTTACCAAGCCCTCTTGCAGAAACAGTGGTGGGGGATTTTTTCAGGTGTGGTTTTTTGGCAATCATTAAATGTCTGGCCCACAAAAAAATCCTTCTTCTGTAGCCCTACAGTGAAGGGAAAAAAATCAATGACTGAGAGAATACTGCATCCCAGTTTCCTAATTCCTGAAAACTATTATTAATGAGGCTACTAACTGGCAGTGCAGGGGCAAATGGTTAGCACTGCAGCCTCAGATTGAGAGGGTTGCTCTGGATGGAGTTTTGATAATTTCTCTGTACTTGCACAGCTTTTATGTGGAAATCCCATGCTTCCTCTCACTGAACATGCTTTCTCTCACCTCCTATGACATTCTTGCAAAAAAACCCCATCTTATTCTAAAAAAAAAAGTCAAAGTAAAATTTTTTGCAGTTGTTTTATATTAAAATGAGACTTTTGGAGGTACAAGTAGTTTTTTTGTTGTTGTTTTTTATTAATAAACTGGATGTGTTTCTTTTTGACTGCTGCTATTGTCAATTACTCACCTGTGGCCTCAACAATTCCTTCTAAAATAACAATGATCTCAAACTGCTGTCTTCTGAGTTGCTCTGGACCCAGCTCCCACAGCGGACTGTCGCAGTCAATATTGTGCTGAATGACTTGAGGCTCCACCAGGAAAAGTCGGTCTGAGCCAGTTTCATAACCAAGGTTAATCTCTGTCTGCTCGAGAGGCAAGAACTCTCCCTCTGCTGTTTGCCGGGACTTGATTAACTTTGCACGAACCTTTGCGTCCACCATGTGACTTTCTCTGAGATCTCCCAGGCGGAACATCAAGCAGAGCTGGTCATCCCGGTTAGCAATGACACACGTGCGACTGAAAAGAAGTGTCTCCGCTCGCTTCTTGGGTCGGGATATTTTAACAAACATGCAGCCTACCATGAGAGCATCTATCATGGACCCAACAATGCATTGCGTCATGACCAGCACCACACCCTCGTGGCAGCTGGGAGACACGGTGCGTGATCCATAACCAATGGTGCGCTGTGTCTCCACTGAGAAAAGAAGAGCAGAGATAAAATCATCTACACCCAAATAGCAGGGTGCGCGGTCTATGAGGTTTTCTTCAGGGGTGGTGAGTGGCTTCTCCTTTTCTAGGTCACCTCTAAAGAAAGCATTCAAGAAGTAGAGCACAGCAAAGAAAAACCAGGTGACAATGTAGCACATCATGAAGACAAATAAGAACCATCTGTACTGGAGGTCCACAAAAGAAGTAAAGATATCAGACAGGAAACGGCCCCTTTCTGAAATATGACAAAGGTTGACTCGGCACTTTCCATCTTTGGCGACATAGCGAAGTTGTTCTCTTGTTTCTGGAGCGATGGTAGGGGTTTGGTTAGTTTCACTCTCTAGAAGTTTACTCCTGGCCTTTGCAAGCTTCTCCATCTCTCTAGCAGGGCTGGATATGTTGCTTTTTGCCGGTGAGAGCGGCGTGCTGTGGAGCGGACTGTGGGTAATGACATGAAGTGGACTAATGCAGCCGATTTCAGGCACGCTGAGGGCATGGCGAGGGTAGCGTGAAAGACTCTTGGTCTCCCTGAGTGAGCAACGACGCAAGAGGTCTTGTTCTCTATCTATTAGACAATGAGTATAAGAGGGAAGCAAAGAAATGTTGCCTTGGTGAGGAAAGTCTGTTGTGCTTTTGTGGCGTTGCCTTGCTGTTGTGAGGTCAGAAAAAGTCCCTGGCATGATGTCTGGGAGAGGAAGCGTCATGTCTGTATCTGGCTGGAAGGGGAAAGAAAAGTGCATTTTTAGTGTGCTTGCAAACATGAAGGTCATTTCAGTTCACTGGGATAGACTCCAGCTTCACTGAGGCTAAATTAGGTCATGGCTGAATGGTGGGAAAAACGCAGGAGGAAAAGCAGCTACATGGTAAATCTTGGGGGACCAAACATTTTTTTTGAAATTGTTGACTTAGCTTTTAGTGACTTTTGTTGACTAAAAGCTTACATGACATTTTTTATTTCACCATTCATTAACCGCACAGAGAAGGCATTATTTAAATATGTTAACGTTTTCTTTAAGCAAACAGTATTATTAAAGTTCTTCATGACTGGGCCAAGTGTCCTTTTTTTTGGAAATCAAAATACGAATCACCCTATAAAATCAGTACTTCGTAATACAGCCCACAAGTACAGGGATAGTGTAAATATAGTCTCCTGAGAACTGAGAAAAAACGTTCAGTTTAACTAACTTTTGTGATTCCCTGCCTCACTGGGGCTTAAAGAGACCACCCAAACACATGAGACATCACTGGAAAGGCCACATCAGGACTTAGTCAAAATAAGAATACGGTTGATTGGTCAAAGACTATTTTGTTCTTCAGAAATAAACTGGAAACATCGTCATACTAAAATTCATCAAAGTGCACTGAAAAATGTCACATTCATAATATTATCACACAAGGGCAGACTGGAAAAGACTGTGCGTGACCAACTTGTAAGATTTTTTTATCTCAAAACTTTCAGGTTTGACTTTACAAAGACATTTGGGGGGAAAAAGTTTGGAAAACAAAACTCACTGTCTTACATTTATTGAATAACTCTTGCACCTAACCTCATCCCCCGAAGGTGTGGAATGGACAACCATGACAGATTTCGGTTGACAGGGCATAGATGTTCGCCGTCCCCTCGTCTCATCCTGGGTGGTTGTGGGAGGTCCCATGGCTACCCTACTAATTTATGTTAACTTGGAGCCAGGACAGCATGTCCTCTTCAGATTATAGTCTTTTCTTCCAGTAGATCACATCAAAGAAATCCAAAACCAAAAAACACTTGCAGCAGAGAATTGTGATCGAGTGCAAAGTCTTCCCATTGATTGTAAATACTAGAACAAAAGACCAGATTTTCAACAGGGTTTGAACTTTTAAACATGCAATAATAGAGTTAACACTATTATTCTTGCTAGCACCATCGTGACTGGCAATAAAATTCCGAGGTATTTCTGGATGACTCACAGAGTAAATTAATCCAGTGCTTACTTCCAGAATGAGCTATTCTCTGGGTCGCTCTGTGGCGGCCAGATTCAAAGCCTTTCCCTTTAAAGCAATGTTTCTAAAGAAGAAAAAAAGGGACACTGACGAGCAAAACACACTCAAACAGAAAGCATTAGCTAGGTAAGCTGGACTAAGCCTAATCATGCTGTCTCAGCCTTCTGCAGAGTAGGGTAGAGTGGACTCAGCTACTGTCTTATATAGAAAGGACAGAGTACTAAGGTTATATGACCCGAGGCATAGTTCAAATAATCCTAAAAAGGCTAAAAATCTAAAAATGACTAACGCCACAGAAAGTTTGGAAATGTGCCGGAGGTCATATAGGCCTATATGACCTCCTTTATATATAACTTAATATATATATATTAAGTTACCAGGTGAAAAAAGTGATGGTAATATCTACGTAATCCTTACAGAGGATCTTTTTTTTTTATCCCGTATGTGAAATGAAGTTAAAACGATACGATGCTTTTAAAAGGGCATCAGTGGTGCATAAACACTATAAATATGTCATGTTAGCCCATTAGTAGGTGGTTGCTATAGGTAAATGTTGACGTGATAAGTGAAGTTTAGCTTTTAAAAATGGATAACCAAAAAACGTGCAAATTCTATACATCCTTTCTATTCTACTTTTTCTCACACTCCAGCCTTTACTCACACAAGTGAGTTACACGTCAAGTGAGTTACCATTGACAAGTCACTTACCATTGCAACACACAAAGGTAGTCATTTGGCTGTCAGCAGTTGTGAAAGTCATCTGACCTTGTATAAAAAATTCCTTAAAATGTTTTTTTTTTTTTTTTTTGGAAAGTCAGTCTTTTTTTCCCCACTGACTCATCCCTGGCCAGGGTACTCCTGTCAGATTAGTGCACCACCTGCTTTGTCTCACGAAAGGAAGGAAGGGAGGCGCATCCGTGATATCGGTTCCAAAGCAAACACGCAGACAGGCGACCCCCTAAGAAAACAACTCCCCTACCTTTACTTTGCCTCAGTAAAGGGTAAGGGCATTTTAAACTCTACACCGTCACTTTATAGCCCAATAACGGAGTGAGTTTAAATATTTCGATTTCGCTCCGAAATAGTTTGTATGATTTGTCCCTTGCTTGCATATTAAACTGGTCTAACATTTGACCAGCTTTCATTAAAAGAACAAACAAACAAAAGCATATCAGAACATTTGGGTCAGCGAGAAAGAAGAAACGATGACATGTACTACGGAACTCTAACCGCACTTATCTAGAAGAAGGGGTGGTGCTATGGGGCTGTTATAGAGACAGAATCTTTGCTCTAAAGCTCAGTTCAGTAACGATGAGTAACACTCCACACTCACAAAGATGCCACGATCTAACAACCTTCTGGGATCCGGCGCAACGAAAATGCATCCCGTGTTCGAATACCCCTATAAAGCCAGGTAGGTCAAATATTATATTATATTATATTATATTATATTATATTATATTATATTATATTATTCATGTAGGTCATGAAATTACCCCCAACTGTGGGCGTGATGATGACGGAGGGCGACACGAGCCAACAATAAAACCGTGCAAGACAAACACTTTTAACAATGGCAGCAGCTTCCACTGCAAACCCTGTAGCACGTGTCAGCGTCGGTTTCAGACTGAGAGACCTTGCAACACAACAGCTGACACCGTTTGCGGCAAGGTGCCTGTTACGCAAAGGTAAGACAACAAGCACATCACCGTGAGAAACAGGTAAACAGCTAGGGGATGTGATGGTCTCTCTTAACCGCAGGGGATTTTCATCAAAGTCTGTGTGTGTGTTTCACTATCTCTTTTACGGCTTAATAAGCAGGCATAATAAGAGCGCTTTCCTCTTTAAATTCTCGCTGTTTTATCTACAGACTTTCATTCCTCCCCACCCCCTTTTTCTGTTTTTCTGCAGAATCCCGACAACAGATTTTCCTGTCACAGTGAGTAGGCTTTTTGCATTTAGTGTAAATGGGTATTCAAATGGCCATTACTACCTCAACTTCTTTTTCACTTCACAGAAACTACCAACATCTGCTATCAGCAGTGGATCAACGGTAAACTATAAATATTAAATGAATGATAAATTCATCGATTACAAATGAAGCCTGTGCGCTTCTTCTTCTCATTCTTCTTTATTTTTAGAAAAAAAAGAAATGAACCGACTCGTAAAACTTTATCAAATCTAAGAATTAATCAGATTAAAATGTTTTTTAATCCTTATAAAATAGTTGGGTTTATTTATTTATTTATTTTACCAGTAATAAATAAATATATAGGGGTTGCCTGTCTGTGGCAGTAGTGGTACTAAAAATATAAAACACAACAGAAAGACGCAACAGAAGATATTTGTGGAGAGCTGGTTAAGGAGTTTCTTCCTCATCAGCAACAGCCAAAACATCCATTCTGTTTTCATTCCAGACTCTGGCATATCAAGGACCTAACTTGACACCAACCCCACCACCATCACGTCCTCACAATGTGTCAGGGGCAGCCTGTAAGTTACGCGTGCACTTCACTGTACACCTGAGACACCTTTCTTGACAGTTACATTTAAATGTAACCTTGACTTTTTCCTGTGTCTGCAGGGGCAGTACCATTAGCCATTTTAATTTCCATTGTGCTCGCTGCCTTGTCTGCTTATGTGTTTGGTCTCAAACGGAAAAGAGGTATGTATACCGAAACTAGACGATCGAAGATAAACAAATGTGCACACATCAAGGTCTTAGGAAGTTAAGAAACGACATAAAAGCTGACCACTGGGTTTATAAAGAGAAATTGCCATAAAATGTTACAGAATGTAATTTTACAACCAATATAGTAGGATTATTTTAAAATAACTTTAAAATACCCTCTAGCTTCAAGCTGGTGAATATGATTCTGATACTCTCTCTCCTCTGCCTTATGTAAACAGCAAAGGCTTTTTGCAGGCAACCCTCATATATAAATGACGGATTCGCCCCCCTGACAGGTTCATCTAATGGCAGTGACGTAGAGGACATACTTTGTGAGTCGAACTTAATGTTATCTCAAAATATACAACGCCTATCCAAACCACTGTCTAGTGAGGGATAAAAGTGGGCGGAAACTGCCATTTTGTGTTCCTGTTGACGAATGAAAGTCTGTTTCATTAACCTACTGACATCAATAATTGATGCTCTTTTTCCCCTTTCAAAATTCAGGTGCAGACATCCTGTCTGCACCTCTACAGACCGTGCTGGACAACTTGGATGTTTTGGAAGAGCTGGTGATTTTGCTGGATCCAGAGAGCCACGTAAGAAAGAGCACAAAACATCTGGCGTCGCACTGCGCCTTCCCCTCCACCTGGATTACTTACACCTACTCTATGAAGGACAGCAAAAGCCCCCTAAAAGCTGTGCTGGAGGGGGTGACCTGCAAGAACCCCGACTGGACTGTAGGGCACCTGGCTAAACTGCTCAAACACATGGAGCGTAATGACGCCATAGCTGCTCTCGCAAAACTTAAAACAAATAAGACTGAAGTGTAGCGACTGTTTAGCCCGACTCCCAAAAAGGCTGCTACGGGCACGGAGAGAAGGGGAGCGATAAAAGGCATGCATTATGCGTCCGAGTTGATGACGGGGGAAGTCAAGCATTCCATAAAAAATTAAATAGCTTCTTCCATATTTGCAGCTTCATTTGTTATTACGTTTGAATAATTAATGTATTATTACCTACCTCCTGGAAAACATTTAACCTCAACTGCTGTATCCCATATAAACTGCTTAACACGTGCACGAAGGACAAAGCACAGAATCAGAATTTTAGCCAGGCTTTATCTTTACCCATCCAGCTAACGAGATGCCTTTTCCTCCAGTGAACTCAACCAAAATTCCACAGTTCCTGTTTTTCCTCACCATCACATTTTACCGCGACAGTATTCTTGTCAAAACAGAACAAATGAGTAATGTTTTTTTTTTTTTAAATGTTAATCTGTTTCCCATTGTTGTTGCCTTTATAATACTATTGACTTATACAAATAAAACCCGTCATTTCATCAAACATCTTAACATCTTTATTAAGCAAATAACATTATAAATAAAAAAAGTGCATAGAAAAATTAAACAGGTTTAGAAATATGTATACAAATATTTACAAACTCAGGGTTTATTTGTACATGGTAACAAAGACGTAAATTTAAAGAGCACATATTTTCTCATTTTGATGTCTTTTACACTTACGTTAAAATAACCCTACTATATATATATTTATATGTATATTTATATATATGTGTATATAGAACATACAGCTTTCTTAACAGATTCTGGGCGAGATGGTCATGATAACTTCAGGTTTTGACTAGTGCCTTGCATCCTTCATGGCACGCATGCACGCACGCACACATACATACAAATGACAAACATTTCCAAATACATACACACACACACACACACACACACGCACACACACGCACGCACGCACACACACCTGGATATTAAAACCAAGCTATTTTTTTACATCATCATCCTCTCTTTTTGCATCAGTATTCCCAAACATCTGTCTAAACAGCTGAGGTAGAATCCTTGCAAGGAGTTGGGAGTGACTCTGCTCTTGTTATCAGCTAGGTGATTGACACAAGTTAATCTGGGCTCCATCCCAGTGATTGGACATGCAAGGTGGGGGGAGGGGTGGGTGGGTGATAAAAGACAAAACATGACATAATTTTGGAAAACATAATTATGGGCTTGAGTAGGCAAACAGTGCTCACTTTACTCCTGTGGCTGATTCTAAGACCATCAGTAATCTACATAAAAAAATAAAAGTAAAATAAAATAAAATAAAGATTCTTTAAAAATACCTGCTTCAGAACAATCTGTCATAAAGGCTTAATCGCACACCACAACTGCCCCAAAGAGAGAAAAAAAATTCAAGTAAGTTAGTGAAACAAAGGACATGATGTGTAAACAAAGCATACATATGGGAAAGGGGGAAGGGAAAGGGAAAGGGAAAGGGAAAGGGGGGGGGGGGGGGGGGGGGGGTGTTCACTAGACCGCCACCAATTTGTACAAAGCACAACCTTTAACCATTTAAAATAGAAATCAAAACATGAATAAATATAACTACCAATTTGAACAGTGTGTGAATTCAATTAGCCTCACCAATGACACCACTGAACATCCACTTACAACAATCATTATTTTAAAGGCAGCAATACCTAGAAAAGTCCCGCACCTACACAGTCTTCTCGACCATCGCGGTGCAGGAGCTCAATGTACATGCCCAGTAGCAATGCCTTACACCAGTGCCCTCCCTGATTAAGAGAAACTGCAGAAGATTTCACGAGGATGAAGATAATTTGGATGTTTGATGGGTAATTATGTGCAACTGCAGGGCAGCAAAGTCTTATTGCAATAGGTAACGATGAGCATCTGCCATGAGAGTATTAAAATATATATATTTTTAAAAAAAGAAAGAAAGAAAAAGGAAGGAAATCTTCAATTTTGGCTTGGGTAGTGTTTTGCTACATACACTTTACATGAAAAAAACAACCAAAGAAAGAAAGAAAAAAAAATACCAAGAGGACGTTTCTATGACACTGTTTTTCTGCTCTGAAACCAGACACTAATTTTACACTCAAGACAGGAAGAAAGTGGGTGACGAATAGCAGGTTTTGAATGTGAGATTTTACAGATAACAACAGGAGGACTTATAAGAGTGCATAAATTTAAGATCTCAGCAGGGTAAAGAAAGAGCTAAACAATTCCTGATTCGCAAGACATCATAGTCCAACTAAAGACAAAGCTTTTAAAAAGCTTAGCACCATGTTTTTGTTTTGATTTTCTGTTATTCACAAAAAAGACAGAAAAAAGAAAAAAAAAGGAAAAGAGTTAACATAAGAAGTACTGAATCGTACAAATAAAGGTCTGGGTGATGTATGGCTTGAGAACTGACTTCACAACTACAGGGATGGAGCTGTAATGTAATGTGACAGATAAGGCTTGATCTGAGGTTATCTGCTCAAATCCAGAAACTCCCCACACCACAAATCTCCAGTTGTCACGAACACCCAAAACTACTTCCTCTGATTTAATTACAGCTGCAATTACATTATTCGGGGAGCCATAGCTTTTAGTACACTGCGAGGCAAGAAACTCTGCAAAGTTTGTTTTTTGTGCTGGTTCTCATCCTCTTCCGCTTGACCCCTCCCCCCCCCCAAAAAAAACAAAAAACCCCAAAAAACAAACAAACCCAAAAAAACAAAAAATGTCCTCACTTCTCACTAGCCATGTTTCTGGCCAGTCTCATAGTGGCTTAATCCCCCTGCTGGGCAGACTGACTGCAGCCTCCTCAAGCCCCAATCCAGTGTCACCACAATTTAAGGCTTACTAGTAAACAGGATCCTCCCCCTTTTTGTATCCAAGAGATTTCTTAGTTGAGGAAACGACGACATCTCCGGGCCCCACAGTTACAGTTGAGTTTGTTGCTGGCATCTTCGATGGGGAACTTGTAGTCGTAGGTAAGCTCCTCCCCCCTGTAGATTTTCCTAAGAGCGAAGATGACGATGTGCTTCCGACCTTCCACGTTAATCACTCGAGAGTAGCAGTTAGGTTCACATGAGTGGTTGATAAACCTCGCCGCGTTGCCATGCATAGTCGCATCCACTACGTCGAAGTCATCGATGCGGAACATGTAACAACCGATACCCTGCAGGGAGCAGAAATGAAACCTGTCGGTGTTTTTCATGAAATCTCTCAGCATGAGCCGCCAGTTGCTATGAAATACCTGACCAAAACTAGAATGACAATGATGAAGATGCACAAACCTTCCCATCATAGTACTTCTCCCTTTTATCAGTGAGCACGGAGCGAATGACGATGCCCGCATATTCGATAACCATCTCTCCTGCTTCAATGTTCCTCTTGCAGAAAAGACCACGGCCGTGGATAGCAGACCTACAGGAAGTGTTATCAAGATGAAAACTGATTGTAAAGCAATAGGAAGATATTTAAAAAATCTATACAATAACACATTTGTATATTATATTGTTGATACATGTCAGACTTTAATGTGTCCAATCTTTTACCTTTGCATGAATGTTGGCACACAAGCACTAACATGGTAAACACAGGAGCTAGGGCTATACCCAAAATATATACTCAAATTCAGCCACTTTGATCTTTTTTTCATTTTATTGGGCTTTTTTTGTCTTATTTTAATATAAAGGGTAAATGGACCAGCTCTTATATAGCTTTTGCTACTCTACTTAAGCACTCAAAGCGCATTATATGCCTCATTCACCAATTCACATACATTCTTACAAGCACTTTTCTCTATGCTTTGTCTACTTAAGTACTTTCTATCTAACATTCACACAAATTCAAACTCCAGTGAATGCACCGGAGGCAAGTTCCTGTTGCATGTGATGAACTCAGAAATCTAATTGTTTCATCGTGTGTCTCTTTAAAATCAACACAGGATATGACTTGTCTCTCTTTGGAATCTTATCATTTCCACACTTCGTTTGATTCCAAAAAAAAATCCCATATTTTTGGAAAATACGGCACATTTAAAATCAATCCTTTGATTTTTCTAAAAATCAACAGTGCCCCTTATAATCCCGTGTGCCTTATGTATGAATTCTGGTTGTGTTTAATGACCTCGAAACGATTTTATGTGCTACACGGCGCTCGAAAATCTGTCAAATGTTTTAGTACGACTTTGCTAAGCTACGAATCCGCATCGCTTGATGGATTGTTGGAGCATTACGGCTATCATAGTCAGGAGCCTCGTGGAGTGATACGTACTGTGCTTTAACATAATATTACCGTATTGTGTGTGTATAACCTCTTTTTAAGTTTTGTGGATATTATACATGGTTATGTTGAGGATATGTTATCGTTATCGCAAATTTTCTAATGTATATCGTGATAAATATTTTTGGTCATATCGCCCTGCTCTACCCTACATGCTCTTTGTCACTAGATTTTGACACTTTCCTCAGGATTGCCCCCACCCCCACCACTTCTCCTTTTGTGCTTCCTGGGTAGCAGTGACATTACAGAGTGACAAAGCTGTATTGTGCAGTGAAAAAAAAAGTTTTCTGTTTAACAAGACCTTCTTTCTTAGAAACTGAGTGAGGTCACAGCGCAGCCAATGTCTTGCAGAAGTACTTGCAAAAAGTGTTAAATGCGGCCGAATTATAAACAAAGAGTGGGAATGTTTTTGTAGTTTTTTTTAAAAAGTTCTCGTTGAACAGGCTGTCTCCATAATGTCTGGCCAAGGCACTGTTTCATTTCCCAACGGCTGCTTTTTCTTCAGCCTCACTAGGATTAACATGAAACAGATGTTTGAACAGCTGTTAGCAAAAGCAGAATTGTTGTGCATGTATGCTAGCTATGATTCATTTGTGTGGAATAATAGTTTGGTGTGACTCTGTTGTCTGGCTAGCAATAATGACACATTACTGCCAAAGAGCTGTTACTTGCATTCAAATGACTATCTATGTATCACCCTTGTTTTATGAAAGCTAATGCCATTTAAGTCATGTGGTTCTCGTCACCACAGGATGGTAAGAGCTTTATATTGTAAGGAAAAGACCCTACAATAATAGAGAGGAAACCCCACTTGGTGACAGGGGGAAAGAAAAACTCATTTTTAACATACAGAAACCTCTGGTAGAGCTAAAAGCTAAAGTATTTTCTCCAACTTGCTTTTCCATTAACATGATCACAGATACAATTCTATACTACACTGTAAAGAAATAGTCATACATATTAAACTTAGACAGGTAAACTGAACAGAAATTTTTTAAAGAGTCATCCATACTGGAACAAAATAAAGCAAACTGGACTTCAATGCTGAATATTCATTGAACATCACTGAAGGATGCTTTTTTCAGTTTTGAATCTTTCTGCTCACGCTGCTCTTGACAGGGAATGCTTTGGTTTTCTCTGTTAATCTTATAAATAGGCAATTCTTTGGAATCAAACCAAAGTGTGAAAATGATAACAGATTCCAAAGAGAGACAAGTCATATCCTGTGTTGGTTTTAAAGAGATGGAA